AAGGGTCGGAGAGGTAAGAGGAGGGGTGTGTTGCCAAGACCGAAGGTGAGTATCGGAACGGCAGCGGTAGGTTATGACTCCGGAGGTGAAGAGGGTGGAGGTCCGGAAGTCAGATCGGGGTCAGGTATGCACGGATATGACATCAAGGCTGCCCAGTGTCCTTGTAGGCATGGTGACACTACTTCCCAAAGTGGGAGAAGCACTCAAAAATGAAAGCAATTTGAGGCCAATAGTAGGCTTGTGGGTGGGGGTGCCAACACCTTGGCTAAAAATATCAGGAGAGGGCATGCTGGCATTGACAGAATTGGGAGTGGGTGGGTTAGTGTCAGGACATGGTGAGGAGGGGCAGCTTGCCTGGACCTTTCCCCGGAAGGGAGGCTGGAGATAGAGGATGGGTGGAGGGACCGTGGCCTCAGCGACTTGGAGGGGAGTGCTGTGCCTATGTTCGATAACGCTTAGTGTCTGGTCCTTAATTTCAGAATGGGGGGGTGCAAACTCTGGGGGGATAGTCATTATTGTCGATTTTGCACTGAGGTGCCATCAACTACAGTACATGACTTAGATACATAATACAAGACAAATTGGAACAAAGGGAAAACCCAAGAGGGACTTACCCACTTGCCAGGTTGGCGAGCTCATGAGAGAATCGCCTTATCAAGCATTGTGGAGTGGGTAGGTGAAGGGTGGAATTAGTGACAGCTATTGGAAAGTGGGAAAACCTTTGTGGGGTTGGCAGGGGTCTTAGGAGGTCCATAGTAATATTGGGTAGGTAGAAATATTACTAAATGTCTAAGATGAGGATAAGAGGTACTGGAGAAGGTACCGGAGATCAGAGGCAGAGGTGGACTGGAGGTATACTGGAGGGTTTGGCAGAGGTGAGGGGGAGGACGAACCGGAGGTGAACTGGAACGGTGGCAGAGTAGGTATGGATATGACAGTTAGGCTGAGCTTGGCTCAATTCTCTGTTCGAGCTCTGTACATTGGATGAAAGGTCCATTACCAGCTGCTGTGGTTGCAGCCAGTAGCCAGACATGTGGATCCCACCCTGAGATTCCTTTTTTTAATAAAAAAAATTTACATCCTGGAAATCGAGTTGATCAATTAGGCAGACATACCACCTGAGTTTCCTCCCCTGAAGCAGTCAAGCCATGCACTACTGAGCACATTGCAATTTGTGAAACCAAAATTAGTGATCAACCAACTGACCTACATCCATGTTCATTCGACTGAGACTGAATGCTCAGGCTCGGCGATTCCGAGGGAAAGTGTGAATGTGGTTGAGAGTCCATGGGCATCCCACCACTCAGGTTCGAATCACTGAGAACCAACTTTTGAAAAGAGAAATTAGTTTTAATATTGTGTTGAATGATCAGGCACATGCATGAAGTCATTCACTGGTGCACAGTGAAGCAGATGACAATTATTACATAATACCAAAAAATAACGGACAATACATTTGCCTACTTTCAGGTCTATTCAGGGAGTCCGGAGTTTGAGGAACAAAGGGCAATTGCGGCTGGGAGTGTGGAATGGAGGTTTCGTCAGGATTGTGGTGATACTGCAAAGTGATTAAGAAGAATGAGTATTCATGCTTGGTTCATAGGAAATAACCTGTTTTGATGATGTTACCTTGGTTTCTTTCTCATTCACTTTGAACGACAATCAATAACAGAATTTATACATAACAAATTGACCTACTTGCTTCCTGTTGAACTGCAATTGAGATAATATTCAGTGATATCAAGTGGGAATGAACTCACCGCAACTATGGAAGGTGGTTTCAAATGTTTATACCGGTCTTGGATTGTCCATGGGTGTTATGGAAATGGGATTTTCCCATTTTTAGCCTCTTATGGGCTCTATGCAGTACAATATCACGTGACATGTAAATAATAACAACCAAACCAACAATTACTACTCAAAAACACTCCTGTCCATGTTATTGTAAACTCCACTGTTATAACTTCTGTTACATTAACTGTAACACTCTCTCAATGTCACGGCCTTCTCCTGCACCCAAACGCTATAGAAATGGGCCAATTAGGCCCCATTTTTATAACAATGGGGCCACTGCTGCTCATAGATGGGCAGACTGGACTACTGAATTACTTGCTAGACATCGGTGCCATGTAACCTCGCTAGTCCATACTTAGAAACAAGGGACTTCCCTACCTTCTGCCACTTCGGCCATTCATAGAACCCACTTTCTGCATTTCTTGTAAACCTGATTGGGTAGAAGTGAGCTGTGTGGCAGCTGCCTTTGCATGTCGAACCTCCCAGGCCTTGCTTGCTGCAGCGCTCCTGTTTGACTTGGACACTTCTGATATGGGAGGGGGTATAGCAGGCTCTGTGACATTTTTTGGGTCTTTCTTTTGGGTTGATGCTGTGCTTGTGCACTTGGACATGTTGAATCAGATGATAGGAAAAAAATTGATGGGGTGGACTCATATTTGGAATTGATTGAAGCCAATCCATTAACTCCATTGATTCTGCTCGTTTAATCTATGGGCAGTTCAAAAAGCGCAGCAGCTGTAGCCATGGCCTCCCAATTGATCGAAGCTATTGATCCCGTCGATTATGTCTCAGTTTCTCCTGGTTCAAAACACAATACACTGTCTGTGGTGCTTGAAAAGTGCCATATGCAGGGTGGTGGCCTTACAAATCACATCTGTAAGAGCTCCCCATGTTACATGAAGGCTGAGGAGGCCCGCAGAGCTACAGAGGCAAGAAGTGCTCAGCATAATTCCAATGGTCCTCCCAATCAATCTCCCTGCAATCGATTGCCTCTTAACAATGATAACAATCACAGCGATGGAACCCCAGATACCAGCACTAGCAGCGATCAAGGGCCCTCCCACTCAAATGGGTGCGTGAGCATAACATTCCAGACAATTGATCGCTGAAAGCTACCACATTATCTGGAGATTAGGTGATGAACCATCCTCGGCCGCCAAGCTGGAAAGATGCAGCTTCAATGTACGAACAGTGTCATATCCATCCTGTCAGGGAACACACCCTGACTAGCCCGGACCCGGACCCGGATCCGGACCCATGTCTGCCCGCTGTGCTTCCCGCATCTGTGCATGCTCCACGCACTGCATGTTCCAGGCCCGGTTCCCACCCCCTCATGTGACTTCCGGGTATCCCCGGAAGTTTGCCTGATATTGTGGCCACTGTGGGAAGATGAGAAGTTAGCTTCCTTCTCATCTTCTTACCCACAGTAGGTTGTGCCCTGGATAGGGCTGGTTACACCAGTAGGCTGTGGACCATAGGGGAGGGTCATGGGGACCTGGGAGTCATCCCCTGACACATCCATGGCCATCATCCTCCACTACCTCCAGTCCTTCTGGATTACCTCTGCTCCTTTGTCACTAACCTCGGAGCCTCTGTAATCCACAATCACCTCCGACTCCCTTGATGGTCACCACCCCCTCAATCCAATATATTACCTAAGTATGGAGTCCTGAAGGCCTCTGGACAGCTCCAACATCTGCTAGCGCACCCCCACCTCTGCTGGGCAATTCACTTGCTTGCCCTGCAGGCCTACCTTCAGGCCAATCCCTCCTTTCTGTTCCTGGGTTATAGCCCACCACTCCACTAACCCCATAACCTGACTCGTTGGTAATATTCAGTCGGCTAACATATAACTCCATTAGCTCCACTCCACTTGGTCCTGCCATTCATGGGCCTGCCCTCTATGTAACTATATATATACATAACTTGTAGATAGGTTATGTCATATCCATGCATACCCGACCCCGACCCGACTTCCGGACCTCCACCCTCTTCACCTCCGGAGTCATAACCTACTGCTGCCTTTCCGATACTCACCTTCGGTCTTGGCAACACACCCCTCCTCTTACCTCTCCGACCCCTTCTCCGTCCGTTCCGATACTCATCTCGGACCGAACATCGCCCTACTCGCCACCCTTCCTACAACTCCGCTCCCCCCTCACCACACCTCCACCCTCCCGTCATCCCCTACGCTTTCTCCGTCCGTTCCGATATCCACCTTCGGACCTGACTACTCTTCCTTACCTGTCCCCTCTCTCCTTCCTCCGTCACTCCTCCGCCACCCTTCCGCCAAGTTACGACCATCCACCGCTGTTCCGTACTTCACACTCGGACACCGTTCGTACCTTACTCCGAGCCTCCGTCATAGTCCATACCTCGGACTTTGACTCCACCTCGGTCTTAGTCCATTGCATTGGTGACCTCATACTACGTAAACACCATTGCCAATATTCCTCGGACTTCCAACCCTGCCTCCGTAACCTCCGTAAGCTCCGCAACCCCCGAGCTTCGCGGACTGCCTCCGGCACTCTCGCCGTTTGTAATGTATTTCTCGCAATTCCCCCTCATCCCTATTTGGACTACTGCTTCCTTCTATTCTAGCCAGTTAGTCATCACCCCCACTTCCCCTCATCCTCCTGCCCCTCTGGGCCTCGCCCACTCTACCTCCTTTCGGATGTATCACAGGTCTTGCCCTATGACCTTCGGTACCGCTCCGCTCCCTCTAACCCTTTGTTCCCGTTCGGACGTCTTCGTTCCGATTCGGTCGCCCTTTGTTTCTCCTTGTGCTTTTGCCCCTTCCTTATATATATATCGGCGCTTGTACATACTCGTCTGGTTTCAGTCCGAAATCGACCTGAAATGCCCCCAAGAGACTTCCTGCTCACCTACTGTGAAATTAAGGACCAAATGGACAAACAGCAATGGCACAGCGCTCCACTTGAGTCGCTGAGGCCAAGGTCCCTCCACGCTAAGTCTCCGATTCCACTCCGGAGTCGTCCGTTTCCGCCCATCTCTAACAGGTTACACCCTAGTGATAAAATCGACTAGAGTTTGCCTCTTCTAGTTCTCATTGCCAGTTAGTAAATTAGGGCACAGACATGTAACTAGGCACAGCACTCCTGGTCTAAGTCACTGAGGCCAAAGCCCTCCACCATGGGGATGTTTCCTTCGTCCCACATCCAGTCTCTGACAAACAGGTAAAGACGATGCCAGGCCCACCTTCATGGAAATCTGATACAGTAACCCTCAAGGAAGCACCCGATGAGCCACAAACACTCTACTGGCGTGATCCTGTGGAATTTGCACACTTCCTATTCCAGAATCCTGACTTTGATGGGGATATGGCATATGCACCCTCATGGGTGTTTAGTTCAGATGGGGCCCAGGTTTATTCAGAGATGATGATGGGAAATGAGTGGCACTTTCAGCAAGTAGGTCCAAACTGCATAATGCCCCTACTGAAATAAAATTCATCAACTCATAGTCACTGCTTGATGAAGGATCCACTATTCTTGGGATAATCCTTGCATCTGATTGGACCCACTTAACGAGCTTTACTGGGGACAAGAAGATGCATGCCATTTACATCTCACTTGGGAACATCAGTAAAAATGTCTGTTGGAAGCATAACATGTGTGCCTGGCTCTTGCTTGCCAAGGTCCCAATCTGTAAATTTCCCAAAACTCCTTTCCCTGGAAATAAAACTGAACAAAAGGCTATTCCAGGAATACTTGGCCAGTGACTATTTTACAACTGTATGAGACGTGTTCTTGAGGACTGATCGCAGGGGATACTTCCATGTGCCCTCTCCAGATGGGCACATTTGCTCCTGTATCGCCATTTTGATGGCTTGGATTGCTGACCTTGAGGAGCAGCTCCTTGTTGTTGGTGCTCGAAGCTTCAGCTGTCTGGTCTGTTCAGCCACTTTCAGCCACTTGGGGAAACATGAGTGTTTTGAGGTCCGGACAGGAGAAACAATTCTTTCTGCACTCAGAGAAGTCCGCAGCAAGCATCCCACAGCCTCAGTTTATGAATTTTCTCAAGTGAAAAAACTCCCACTGGGTCTGTCTGGTGCATTCGAGGATCCTTGCTGGGAGGGACTTGGGGCCGAGCCCTGAAGCAAGACATTCTCCACGGTATCCACAAGTTCTTTTGGGATCACCCAACTGATTGGCTCAAAAACTTACTTGGGGTCCAGGAAATCGATTGTCGTTTCATTGCACAACCACCAATCTCCACTAACTGTTTTGTGGGGGGTATCTCAATAATCTCCCAAGTGACCAGGCAGGAACATTGTGCTTTCCAACAGGCAATCCTCTCTATAATTATTGGCCATGATCATGTAGATAACAAGGTCATTGTCAGGGCACACCTGCCTGACCTGGCCCCACCTGACCCGGTCCCCCACTACCCACTCCTCCCCTACCTCCTCCTTCTTCTCTCTTTCCCCCTTTCCCTCTTTCTCTCTCTCTTTTCCTTCTTTCCTCTCTTTTCTCCCTTCTTTCTTCTTTCCTTATTACATGGACAACTTCCCTTTTATCAATGTACTATTGACCCAGCTGCAGTACGGCATGCCCAGACCTGGACATGCCAGGCAACCTCCCACACACCAGGCACTCCTGGGATCTCTTGTGGAGATACCAGTCACAGGTTCGACCCCTGTAAGGACCACCAATTTTGAAGGAGAGAATGAAGGAAGGTCAGTTGGGAGGTTCAAACGAGACCACCACCAAGCTGTTCCCTGGTTCTTTAGTTAGGATGGGGAAGTGTACAAGTAATATTTGTTGTAATTATAGTACCAATCTGAGTGTTTTGGCTAATTCTATTTTATGAATTAGTCTAAAAGTTTCTGAGAATTGACTTACAGATAAACCAAGCCCTGCAGAGCTGTTCCTCTATTGTAATTTCTTAATTTGTCTGGGTGTAATTCTGTGTAGAGTTGTTTAATTTGGATTTTAACTTGAATTAAATCTTCTACTTGGTGAAGTTTCAAAGATTCTACTCAGTTAATGGATTTAGATTGTGTCTGGAGTATCCCTTGAGTTTGTTTTATTTTTGTCTTATTTTATTGCTTGTTTTAACAGTAGCAAAATAACTGTTTTGTGTTTACACTTTGAAATCTGGAGTGTTAACCAGCTCTCCTGTTGAAATATCTACTTAATATTTCTCTCCTTAATTGCTGCCTTTTACTACAGTGGCAATCTTAACTGTATATCACTTTTTCGTGCTGGAGTGACAACCAGAAATGCTTGAGAAAAATAATACTCTATTTTCTTACTTCTCTGAGGGGGCGAAAAGTCGCAGAAAGGGTCTCCCTTTTATACTCCTTGGGTCACCTTCCTTTTTCACGCTCTTCCTCGTATTTACAGGATTTATTTACAGTGTATTTTTCTCAAACTGAATAAAAAATGAAATTTTCACGCTATAGTTCTACTGTGCTCTGCTGCGCTGAACTGCGGCTCTACTGCAGTCAGACTGCGCCTAGAACCCTTATTGTCCTTCCTCACCTAAACTATTTTAATGGTTAATTAGAACTTGACTGCACTGCATTTGTCACAGTTTCCTATTTCAAATTCCTCATATTTACCATTAAATTCGCTATGACTCGGTGATTCTGAATTCAAACTTCGCATTACTATGCATATGGCTGCACTGAGACCTTCAGCTGATTTATATCCAGCAACATTTAGTTAAAATGAGACTTGAAATGGTAAATGAGTGAATTATTCAGGTTTAGAACCGAAAGAAAAAGTTGCTAGTAGTCAAGAATTACTCAAACGAATGTATTATAGCTCTCCACTTCATTAGAATATTGTTCCCCAAAATTCCCACCATGGTCCATCATAGTTTAGTGGTTTTCATGGATTTCGTTCATCTCCCCTGATTCCCCTTTGTATTATCACATCCTAATCCTCCATATGTATTGTTCGTTGTTATAGTAGGTTGTCCTGGAAGATATCATATTTTTATGTATTTAATTTAGGGCTCTGGACCTCTTGAAGCTGTCTTCCCCCACGTTTTCAGGTTTCTAACTTCATGTCCTTGTATCTCATTCATTTCTGGATAGTTTTTTACGTTCTTGGTATCATAAATTTTCATTTATTCCCACCTTTCCAATGGTACTAAGGTTGTGTTCTATTTCCTGGTATTCGTCGAGTTAACAAAAGTTCGCACACACATTCGGTAATCACGTGCATCATTCCTGTAGTCGTTCGTATGCGGGTGCTGTTTCTGTTTAATTGTTCAGGATTTATGGTATGTGTGGGTGTTTATATCCTTCATATGGGCTTCCGTGATTTATTTCAGATTTTTCCCTCATGATCTAAGGTTGTTTTGCACTTTCCGTGCTTTGTTTTGACCAGGCTCTTCCTTATTTGGATGGAAATTGGTCTTCATGATCTGCCAAAGTGCAGATCTCAGTTCCGATGGCCAGTTCCCTTCGCATTGCCACCCTCACGTGTCATTAAACATGATGTGGTGTAGGAGAAATAACGGCCACACTATGGAAACCCATTATGGAAATATGCCAGATAAATCACAAAACCTCATACGACAAGTAGATATGAGAACATAGAAGGACCTGAATTTTAACGAATTTTACGAATTTTTACGAATTATTATGACTATACACGATAAATCGAAAGAAAGAAAAATAACAAAAATACTTCAAGCTTACCATCAACGAGACGGAATTCTCGGGGGAATTTATAGCAAATATTAAACCAAGAATTAGGACAATCGACCAAGATTTGACTATAAAAATAATCAGAGAACCTCCACGGAAACTACTTTCCCACGTCCGCACACGTAGCAAGGATGGAAGTACCACGGAACAAAGATTCCTCAGGAACTAATGCAAAAGTCAAAGTCGTGTTTATAATAGGAAATGTAGATGTCACCCAAACGGAACCAATGAGAGTAATTACAGGGGAAACTACCCATAAACGACGGAGATATGACTAAAACTCCTGCAAAACGAGGACAATGTCTAAAAAGCAAGCGCGAAGATTAACTAGTAACGACCGAGACAAGCTTGATAGCCCATTAGAAAGGAAGGGATCTACTCTTAATCCTCCCAAATTTCCATAATAAAAGGATCATGCGTTAATGAGAAATCCAATAACGGGAATAGCGACATCAAAAGTCCGAGCTCAGGGACAAGACGATGATTGCGTAGGATCCATAATTAAAACATACAACAAAATTTACACGGAAATTATTAAAAATAGTTATGCAAATTCTCAGCCCAAACGGTCCAGCCGTTGTGAAGTTATACCCATGACGGGAATATAGGAATCCGCATCATGTGTAATGACACGTGAGGGTGGCGATGCGCAGGGAACCGGCCGTCGGAACCGAGATCCGCACTTCGGCAGATCGCGAAGACCAATTTCCGTCCAAATAAGGAAGAGCCCGGTCAAAACAAAGCACGAAAAGTGCAAAACAACCTTAGATCATGAGGGAAAAATCTGAAATAAATCACAGAAGCCCATATGAAAGAAATAAACACCCACGCATATCATAAATCCCAAACAACTAAACGAAAACGGCTCCCGCATACGAACAACTATGGGAACGACGCACGTGATTACCGAATGTGTGCGCGAAACTTTGCTAACTCAACGAATACAGGGAAATAGGACACAACCTTAGTACCATTGGAAAGGTGGGAATAAATGAAAATTTATGATACCAAGAACGTGAGAAAACATCCAGAAATGAATGAGATACAAGGACATGAAGTTAGAAACCTGAAAACACGCGGGAAGACAGCTTCAAGAGGTCTAGAGCCCTAAATAAAATACATAAAAATATGATATCTTCGAGGACGACCTACTATAACAACGAACAATACATATGGAGGATTAGGATGTGATAATACAAAGGGGAATCAGGGAATATGAACGAAATTCACGAAAAACTACTAAACTACGACGGACCATGGCGGGAATTTTAGGGAACGATGTTCTAATGAAGTAGAGAGCTATAACACATTCGTTTGAGTAATTCTTGATTACTAGCAACTTTTTCTTTCAGTTTTAAACCTGAATAATTCACTCATTTATCATTTCAGTCTCATTTTAACTAAATGTCACTAAATAAAATTGGAATAAATCAGCTGAAGGTCTCAGCACAGTCGCACGCATAGTAATGCGAGGTTTGAATTCAGTATGACCGAGTCATAGCGAACTTAATGGGAAATATGGGGAATTTGAAATAGGGAACTGCGGCAAATGCGGCGCAGACAAATTCTAATTAACCATTAAAATAGCTTAGGCGAGGAAGGACAATAAGGATTCCAGGCGCAGTCTGACCGCAGTAGAGCCGCAGTTCAGCGCAGCAAAGCGCAGTGGAACTATAGTGTGAAAATTTCACTTTTTATTCAGTTTGAGAAAAATACACTGTAAATAAATCCTGTAAATAGAAGGTAGAGCGTGAAAAAGGAAGGCGACCCAAGGAGTATAAAAGGGAGACCCTTTCTGCGACTTTTCGCCCCCCTTAGAGAAGTAAGAAAATAGAGTATTATTTTTCTCAAGCATTTCTGGTTGTCACTCCAGTGCGAAAAAGTGATATACAGTTAAGATTGCCACTGTAGTAAAAGGCAGCAATTAAGGAGAGAAATATTAAGTAGATATTTCAAGAGGAGAGCTGGTTAACACTCCAGATTCCAAAGTGTAAACACAAAACAGTTATTTTGCTACTGTTAAAACAAGCGATAAAATAAAGACAAAAATAAAACGA